AGGGTCCCAGCCAAAGTTATCACAAGCGGTGGCAGAGGGGATGCCTTGGAGTCTCTTGGCAACTGTCACAAAATATGTGCCTGGTGGAATCAACGTTGGGGAAGTCCATCCGCCCTCTCTGTGCCGTCCGGTTCTGGGGGTGGGGGGTGGGCGGAGGGTCTCCTGCTCCGCGCAGCCTGCTGGAGGTGGGTGCAGAACTGTGTGGTGAAGTAATGGGAGGCGCTTTGCAGGCGCGAAGGAAGGAGCTGATTTTTAATTGCACAGGGTTAAATCCAGCCCGGGGTGCGCTCTCCCGGGTCCCTGCGGTGTCCACGCGTCCACGCGTGTGCGATGGGACTCGTGTCCCCCGCAGCCCGTAGGAAGCGGTTAATAAATCAGGGAGGCTCTGCAGGGGCTGCAGGACCCGCCCCCCTTTGCCCCCCTTTAATTGAAGCCCCCGATGAGAGCGCAGGGTGAAGGAGGCGCAGGGTCTAAGAGAACAGGGCTTGCACAGTCCTCCGGCTCGCGCTGCCAGCAGTTTTGGGAAAAGCAAAACAAAACAGAAACCCCCAACTCTCTAGCACCCTGCCACCTGCTCCCGTGAAAAGGCCATTCAGGCGGCGGCGGGACCGCGCTCTGGGGTGTTCGTTAGCGCGCAGGCCAAGGGAGCCTGCTGGCTGAAGATTTCAATCTTCCCTTGTAACCTTTTACAACCCAGACCCAGTGACAATGGCGTCATTCAGGGCACCCGCTCACGTGGAGCAGAATGTGAAGGGGGTGGGGCTGGTCTGCGGTGTCGATACCCAGGGAGAGTCCAGGGAGGGACTGGGGACCCGGATCAGCGCTGGTCCGTGGGATTTGGGTGCAGCTGGTTGACACATAGAGGGCTGGGAATTGACACGGGTGAACCCAACTTTCCACTCACATAGAAGGAACCAGCGGGTGTAGCCGGTCTCCAGCTGCCTTATCACGGAGGGCTTGTGCAGCAGGGTAGTTGTGTTTGGCACACAGTTGGTGTGTGCAAGCAGGGTTACTTTATTATCAAGTGTAAGTGAGTTAGCAGGAGCTTTGGAACAAGACTGATCTGGGTGACGTTCTGCTTTCCCTTGCCCAGCTGTGTGATTGCTGAACCTCTCTGAGCTTGCATTTCCTTATCTCTCAAGTAAGCTTAACCATATGCATGGAATGAGGTTCTTTCCAGGAGCAGATGAGGGAAAGCACTTAAGTCCAGCAGTCGAAGCTTCTGAAGGAGCAGGAAGGAGACAGTAGTGTCAATGATGTGAAACTGTCCCTGGGGCTGCCTGTGTCCCCAGACCCACCAAGACTTTTTGACTCCCCATTTAATTCTCCATGCGCTTGCTTCTGCGCGGATGCTCTGAAGCCGTAGAGGTGCATGGCTTATCTTCCATCCCAAGGTCTTGAGAGGTTTCTGCTGTTCTGGTGCTAACGTGGTCCCTTGGACTTGTCTGTCCATCGATGGACCCGGCCAAAATCCCTTCACTCCTGTCCCTTGGGATATTTCCTTCCCTTTGCTTCTATCATCAACTCCAGGCTGCCATTTTGACATCTGCCAGGTAAACTTGAAACAACTGCACTGTAGGCATTTGAGAAAGATGCTCTTGATTGACAGGTGGGATGATGTTTCAAGCTCCTTAGAGGGGAGCAAGCTGCTAGGGGCAAGTGGTTGCCATGCGACCTCCTCTCTCACTTCTGGGAGTGTTCGTAATCAAAAGCAGGGTTTGGCCGGTCCAGCGAGGGGATTTGCCATTTGGCAGCATTGGACTGGAGAATTCCACGGTATCCATTGATACATTCTCTTGTAAATTCCCTCAGCCAACATAGTCCCC